GGAGCCTCGGGTTTAACCCTCGTTCTTTTCAGTGTCAAGTTCTGGTTTCTGTAAATACGAAGTTTTATTCGTATTTACAGAAATCCCATAAAATCCACATTTCTTTCCCCGTACTGTTAACAACTTACTCATTCTGTCTGACTGATTGAAGGAAGATCGGCCTCGAAATATCACTCAAATTTCATTTGCAGTAACATTTTTGTCTCATTTCATGTAAGTTTGAGAGAATTCCTATTCACATTTGCCAGATCTTTCCCACTACAGCGCGCGTATACACATTGCTTCTTTCAACACACGAGCCTTTTTATTGTAAATAACTCTCAAAAGGGTGTAAAATGTTTGTAGGCACACTGCAGCAACAAAGATTTTTCTGTCTGTTTCCTAATGTTTTGTTTGTCTCTGTATGATTTCTAAACGCCAGCTAATTGTAATGGTCTACAATTATTGTTAAGGATTGTTGTATTTATGTTTTTATTCATTCATTCATTTATTTTGTTGGCACATTAATATTAACAAACGGGAAAATGCCAATAGATGGCTGCACTATGCAGGAAGCAGTTTATTCTGAGTTTTGAGATGGCTTGCCCGCCACTAGTGTGGAAGTGTAGAATACAAAGTAATCATTAATTGTAAATTAAAAAGTACTGTTTTATTGTACATATTACAAATGAATTTGTAAAGTGTTTTTTGTAATTTTTCTGTTTGTTTAATTGTTTTAAGTTCCTAATATTTCACTCTGTGTTTTCAAGTGCAACGTTTGAACTGAAGAGAGAGAGAGAGTATCTCTGAGTTGGAAACCATGTGCTGGACTGTGCATGTCGAGTTTGTGTCAATCAAACTCTGGCATTATGTAATGCAGTTTTGGCTGATAAATTTTACTGTCTCAATATTTGTTTAATCACAAAAAATAATTTCTTCCTCAGCATGGGCATTCGATACCTCCAGGAATATTTATTTATTTATTTTTGGTTTTCCTATTTTTATTGCCTTTTTAATTACATGTGTTTTATATTCACCTGCAGTGAAGAATGAGATTTTTCGGAGGAGGAGGAAGCTACTCCAGAGAAATGAACACTTTCATGAATATTTCATTGTCCTCTTTTCCCATCTGAAAAAAAATTGAGAAAATACGAGAATATTATGTTGCATGGTGCATAAGCTTATAAAAGCTGGAGGAGGAAAACACCGGAATTCAGTTGTTTACTTACTGCTGTTATTGACTGTAGCGATTTCGCGTTGAGATCGGATTAACTTTTTCTACTTTGAATTTTGTTCCGGCCAACGTTTCCGTAAAACGTCCAATATAACTACTGTAAGTTATTGCGATATTGTAGAAATATCTGTGAGGATATTTCAGCATTGTGGTTCATTTGCTGTAGTAAGAATAAAATTTGCAATTGAATCTTGAATGAAATGAACTTTTGACGTCCTTGGCTTTTTAAAACTAGCCCCGCCCAAGGAGGAGGGGACTGACGCCTCCAGAATGGGAACATTAGAAAGGACCGCAAAATGATCCACTTGACTAGACAGAAATTGGTCATCCTTGTACACCTCTTTTTTTGTAACACAGGAGGAGGATGAAATAACGACATATCATAAAAAACCCCCAAGCAGCACTCGCTAACCTGAGTCTTCTGCACCCCCTTCTCCCCCTGCACGAATGCTCAGGACTTTTGAAATATGAAAAATTGAAAGTGAATTCATCACGCCAGAGAATTCTGCATCGCTTCTCGGCCTTTTGGCTAAGATCAAAGTGTAGTAAATCGGTCAGTTGCCGATACTTTTTCATTTTTTGGTCACTTCTTTTTTTACAGGTAGACTGGTGGCTAAAGATGTTTCCTGTTTCTGCCCCGCCCCGCCCACCGCCTGGAGTTCGGAGCCCTGGAAGACGCTCACCGCCTCCTGAAGCCAGTTTTGGAGTCCTGGATGCCGGAGCAGGTTCCCATACGGTGCATGGAGTCCCTGGAGACGTTCCTGTTGTAGCTGTTGACCGTGGAGTGCCTGCCGTTCCCGCTGGAGGTCCTGTTGCTGGATCCATTGGAACCTGTTCCCGTGCTGTTCATGGAGTCCCTGGAGCAGCTGTTGACCATGGAGTGCCCGCCGTTCCCGCTGGAGCTATCCCTGGATCCAATGGAGTCGTCCCTCTTGCTCCGGGATCAGCCGCTGATGCTTCCCAAGCCATCCCTGGATCTATTGGAGCCTCTCCTGGTGCGCCTGATGCAGAAGCTGAGGCCCCCGGATTGTCTGAGGCCATTCCTGCCTACCCTGGAGCTTCTGAAGACATCCCTGTGACGGCCGGAGCCTTCCCGGTTGCATCTGTCCCTGGATTGATCCAATCCGTTCCGGCTACTTCCCAAGTCGCCGCTGCAGACCATGGATCCTCCGATGGAAACTCTTGTGTCGTCGCTGGATCTGCCGGAGCTATTCCTGCCCTTGGAGCGAGTGCCTCTCCCGAAATTGCCACTGGAGGTTCCAGAGCTGTTCCTGCATCTTCTAGTGCCACTGCTCATCCTGGAGTCGCCGCTGTGGTCCCTAGTGCCACGCCTTGCCTGCCCGGAGCCGGCTCGTCTGCCAGGAGTGTGCCCACCTACTACTACGGGAGTATCGCCACTAGTGAAGCCACGCCCACCGGGTCGTCCTCCTTGCCCAGACACGTGCCAGCTTTCGTTACACCCTCTGGACCGCCCCTTTCCAAAGGTGGACACTTACGCCAACTGTTGGATAGAATTCAAGCCAAGACTTCTGGCTGCACACCGCTCCTACCTGTGGTCACTTGTCAACCTAGTGAACGAAGGACACCAGAGGGTTCATCACTCGCCAAGTCTGCTCACACGTCCTCCTCTGCCAAGGACACGCCCACCACACCCCAGTCTACATTCGCATGCTACGTCTGCGGATTGGAGTGTACGAGCAGAAGGGGCCTCAGAAGGCATACAAGGACGCACGTGCAGGAGAAAGACAGTCAGCTCCACCCACCTCCTGACAGAAGGGTAGCTGCGAGCATTCCTGGGTCATTGATCTCGCCCGTATGTCATCATACACGGGCTCGGACGGCGGCTGGTCATGCCTGCTCATCGAACACACTCACGATCTCACCCCCACGCACTTACGCTGAAGCTCTTTCTTCGCCATCCATGAGAGAGAGAGAGTTCTGCTCATCCTGCTTCAACCGGTCCTCTCTGCGCAGTGATCACCTCCATCGCGCGGGACGGAGTCTCTGACGTCCAACGTACCTGCTAAATCCAAGGTGTTTCCTGCGGAGAACACAAGGAACTTGCTGCCACCTTCGGAGACGTCAATCCCGTCGACACCATACTTCACCCTCCCGGCCAGGAATTCTACTCCCACCGTCATACCTGGACCAAAGACTAATGCTTCCACACCTCAACTGGCGTCTGCCGTCACCTGCCCGGATTGTGGTCGCTCCTGCCTGAATAAGAAACAGCTGCGGTCCCATCGTCACCTCCGTCACAGACAGGCTCCGCCTCCCACCTCTCCTGGAGACGATGACTTTACCTCCTCAACTCCTGAGACACTGACTGACGCCGCTTCTTCACCGCCCGCTGCTCCTGCACCAGGCCCCGTCCACACGGACTGCACTGCCTCTGGCTCAACAGACGCTGCTCCTCAACCTGCTTTAACTGCCACTGTCCCGGTGACCACTTCGCCTAGTAAAGACCTACCTGGTGAATCCGATGTCGCACCTCAAGTACCCTGCCAGACACGCTTGGATACTACCTCCAGCGCTGGAGACACGACTGATGCGGACGTCCTCATCCTATGCCTCACTCCCTCAGAAAGGACTGATCTGCTCTCTACTGAATTGCCCGCACCAGACAGCAATGTAATACGCTCACATGCTGCTACGACTTCTACTGAGCAAATTGCACCTGGCCCACGTCCTAGCAGGCCATTGCAGAACCTGTCAGTGAGGGAGCCTTTGCCTATGCCCACTCATGTGGAGAATCATGAGTCCTGCCCAGAGACATCCTGCCGACGTGACTCTATTGTCCATCTACTCTTCCCGATGCAAGACACACTCCACTGCACCGAAAGGGACTGCCATAGGACATTCCATTCGAAACGCTGGACCCAACTCCGCCACTCGCTCTGCAGACACCTCTTGTACACACACATGGCATAGATGTTGCTAGCACTCGGAACTGGTGTGCACACTGCCTATTGCCCATCGCCGTTAAGGTCTCGACCCATCAATGCTTTAGAGACCGGCCCGTAGTCGTCGAATCGGGCATTCAACATCGTTGGAGATGTACCCAGTGCGACTTCTCATGCCAAACACGGGGTGGATTCCTTAACCACCAAGCACGCCACCGACGTGAACGGCAGCGCTTACTCCAGCCACCTCTAGTGACGCCTCTCCTTCCCTCCACCTCGGCAAGACGACAGGCACGGACTGCACGATTCCGTACATCTCGCCAAGATGATGCTAGAACTGATGGACCTTCCACTGCCTACCAATCGACAAGTGCAACAGACCCTAATACCTTGCCCTATCAAGAGGATGCCGCACCTCCAGGAACAGACATGAGGACTACCCCACAGGTTGATGCGCCTTTGACTGACAATCTGGGAACCAACCCTTCCTTTGAAGAACACTCCCCGGAGCCGTCCTTCCCGGATTCGCCTTCACCTACCGGTCCTACAGTTACACCCGACTCACCGGTTCCAGAAGCCGTATCGGATGATGCCGAGAGATCTCCACTGGGTGGTGTAGAAATACAAGTCACGTCCCCCCTTGAACACTTCGTAGAACGACTGGAAGAGTTTTCCGACCCGATGACCACTGAGCAGTGGGATGCCTTTTTCCACGTTACTTGACGAGATCTTGATGGCCGCCGCGAGTGCAGTTCGTCTTCCTCCCGCTAGCGAGGATGTAACTGGAAACAACAACAATTCCGCCAAGATACGTGATGACCCAAAGTTGCTCCAGAAACTCTACCGTCGTAACCGACGCAGAGCGGTCCGACTGATTTGCGGGGATGATTCACAGAGATGCCCAATTGGAAGACAGGATATACAAGATCACTTTGCTGCTGCCCTATGCAACAACCGAGTTGACACCTCAGTGTACACCTCACCATCCCCTCTCCCCAGAGAACTTGACCCTCTCTCCATTTTCTCCTGCAGAGATCGCAAGGAAACTCTATTCAGCTGAAAACTCGGCACCCGGACACGATCGACTCTCATACAACCATTGGAAGGCCGTTGATCCGGACTGTACAGTACTCGCAGCCATCTTCAACATCTGCTTGAAAGCTAGGAAAGTCCCTGCAGCTTGGAAAGACTCTCGTACTATCCTGTTACCCAAAGGGGGTGACCCGCATAACATCAAAAACTGGCGTCCTATCTCGCTGAGTGTTACGATTGCCAAGCTGTTCTGTGGTTGCCTGGCACGACGGTTCACTTCTTGGCTCATCGACAACTGCATCCTCTTCCCCGTCACAGAAGGGATTTCTACCCTTCGACGGGGTGTTTGAAAATAACTTCGTTGTTCAGCAGAGAATCCAGCTAGCACGGACCAGCCAATCTGACACCTGCCTGGCGTCATTGGACCTATCCAATGCCTTCGGATCCGTGCCCCACGATGCAATTTTTGCTGCGCTTCGAGCCTCTGGAGTTGGGAATCATTTCACCGAGCTGATACAGGAGCTGTACACGGATGCGTCCACACGCGTCTTCACAGAGGAAGGCCCCACGGATCCAATTCCAATTGACATCGGAGTACGTCAGGGTTGCCCCCTAAGTGGGCTGTTGTTCAACTTGACCATCAACCCGATACTTGTCGCAGTCCAAGGGCAAAGTCCTCTACACCGCATACTGGCGTATGCCGACGACCTACTGCTACTCGCGCCCTCCCCTGCGGAGCTGCAAACTCAACTCAATCTGACGCACAACCTGGTTGGAAAGCTTGGCCTCTACATCAACCCCAGAAAATGCTTCTCCCTACATATCTCCGGAGCTCGCCCAACGGGTGTCCGCCACTCTCAGTTCTCGATCGACGGCACTGCCATCAGGTGTCTTCGTGAGGGTGAAGGTGAGGAATTTTTGGGGAAACCAATTGGATTCAACCAACCACCGGACATCGAGGCACTCAATACTTACCTACAGAAATGCGAGATGATCCTGAATTCGCCACTTGCTCCCTGGCAGCGCATTGACGCGCTCAAATCCTTTGTGTTTCCATCAATGGATTTTGATATGAGGACGGCCCGGTTGAAGAAAACCGACTGGGCAAAGATTGACTCACATGTGCGCCCGCTACTAAAGAGGACTCTCAACCTACCTCCCGAGGCGGCAAATGAATATCTTTACGGCGCGAAGGAATCTGCATGCTTTGGTATCCCGCTGGCTGCCGAAAGCTCAGATATAGCAAGGATTGACAGCGCTTTCAAGTTGCTCACTTCATTGGACCCTGGGATACAACAGCTCGCTTGGGAGGACCTTACGCGACTTGTAAGTGGACGACTGAAAAGGGTTCCTTCCTTCTCTGAGATTGCAGCTTTCCTTTCGGGATGTGACGAAGACTTTCCCAGGAGCACCTCCAACCCAATTTCATCAGTTTGGTCCGCGGCCAGAAGCGCAGCCCGTCGCCTAAAAGTCACGTGGACAATTTCTGACGACCACACTGTGGAGATCTCTCATGACGGTACCACCATAACAGCCGGCAAGCGACGCCTTGTATTCCGCACCCTGCGGAATGCCATCAAGAAATCCCGCGCAGAGAAACTCATCACTTATCCCAACCAGGGCAAGGCGATGGAATGCGCAGCGGCTGCCAAAGCAAGCTCTCACTTTTTCCGGAACGGGGCATTTACACGATTCGCCGACTGGCGATTTATACATCGTGCAAGGCTAAACCTCGTCCCCCTGAACGGTGTTCGTCGCAATGTGAATGGCTCCCGTGGCTGCAGAAGATGCAACTTTGAGCTCGAGACCCTCCCGCATGTCCTCTGCCACTGCATGAGATACAGCCGTCTCTACCAAGCGAGGCACAATGCAGTGGTAGAGAGGATTAAAAAGGCAGCCAGTGGAAGGTGGCAGCTCCTCTCCGAGAACCGGCCAGTCAGAGGACTCCCGCTACGCCCGGACATCATCCTAACAAGAGACAACGCATGCCTCATCCTAGACATAACAGTTGCTTTTGACAACCGTCGGTCTTCATTTGATGCTGCTCGCCGAGAGAAGATGAACAAGTACCGTCCGCTAATCGAAGCACTGAAATCTACATACAACGATGTGCGCGTAGAAGCAATTGTAATCGGAGCACTAGGATCATGGGATCCAAACAACGATAAAGTTCTCAGCAGGATCTGCAGCAGGAAGTACGCATCACTTATGCGAAAGCTCATCGTAAGTGAAACAATAAGTAAATCAAGGGATATCTATGTGGAGCATCTCACGGACGTCAGACAGGAGAACTGGTAAATTTAACATGGACTCACTGAACTATCCGATTAAGTGTTCACAAAGTACAAACCCCCGAAATATGTAAGTAGAAAGAAAAACCTAGTATGTTGTACATAAGTGCTTGGTTCTGAAAATAGTTGTTGTACATATCTGCTTCGCTCTGTAAATAATTGTAAATAGAAAATTAATGTATAATAGAATTGTAAAATGATATTTCTGCCACGCAAATATCATTCTTCTGTAAAGTGGCCAAAAGTATTGTTCAATAAAAAACATCTGTTCTTATCAGCTTAATTTGCCGGTTTGATTTATTTTTATAGGTTCACCGGTGGATATGCTGATAGAGTAGTTGCCTCGTCCGGAGGGCGGAGCCAAGGTGGATCTTTGGTAAGTTTTGCTTTATTTTGTCTCTTTTTCTCCTACTGATGCTTGATGGGTTGGTGACCTTTACTTGCGTCAGTAGGAACCTTTCCTTTCCCTGTGAGCGTGCAGGTGTCTTTTCCCGCTATCACCGAACTAGCCGTTTTCGGTTAATCCATGTGATGGGTGGGGTCTAACTTTTTCTACCTCTTTCCTGTCTATTCTTGCTCTTCTTTAGTATTTTTTCGCTATTTAGTGTTAAAATGCTTTCGTTGAGCCCTTATTTTTTCCTTTGCACAAACTCACTATTATGGTGGGCGTGGTCTTTCCTTTATTTCATCCCTATCTCTTTGCTCCTTCCGCTATCGTTTGTTTCGTTTTTTTTATTTTTCCCATGTCCAGGTTAGTTTCGATCTAACTGGTTGGTTTTTATGCTTACTCGGATTAGTGTCCCGGAGTAGCCGTGAGCCCTTAGCCTGTGTTCTGCCACAGGTCAGGGATCGAGTAAGCTTCCGATTACCCATCCATGTGAAAAGGACACCCGGCTGGGTGCGGCCTTTAGTGGGGCGTAATCTTCCAAGTCCTGGTCATCGTCTTTGCTTTCCTGTCAATGGTTTTTCCTTTCGATTCATTTAGTCTCGGTAGGTGCCTCGACCCCCAGTTCGTCGTGGGTCCAGGGACTTACCTCCATTGGTGTCCTTGCAGACAGGCCACTCGGCTGAGTGTATCCTTAGCTCGACACCAATTTCCATCCAAATCGGCTAGTTGCACGCGCTAGTTTCTCCGCCTACCCGGTCATGTTTTTTTTCTACCAGAGCCACCGAATCTTCTGCAAAGACTCTTGCTCTCCATTCTCGCTTTGATCTTGCCAATTGCCAATTAGCAGTATTACTAATTATTTGTACTCTCGATTTCGAGCTCTATTTTCAGATGTCAGAGTCACCCGGCTTGCCATGCATTCCTGTGTCTCCACGGCCGCCTCGGATACCGTCGCCGACTACTGGTCTCCCTCCGATGCCACCTGTCCTTGGTGGACTGCCACAGAGTGTTGGATGCCCCGATGGATCGCTGGACATGACGCCACACAGACGTCTGAGCCATTTGCACGCTTCGGGTCACTCCTCCGTGATGACAACGCGGTCTGGTAGTCTTCACCCTGCTCCCCTCGCCCACTCTCTGCCTCTGCTGTTCCCTCTGGTCCTCCTCTGCTGAGAAATGGTTCCCTGTGCCAGATGCTCTCCATCATCTCTGCCAGGACGTCTGCCTCCTCTCGCATCTGCAATGATATCTTCGCTTCCTGCTCCAGGACTTCGCCTCCTCCGGAAATGCTCACTGCACCGCTCGTGCCTCTCACTTCTGCTCCTTCCTTACCTTCTCCTGGCTCCATCCTTGCTACTGCTGCCCCTTCTTCAGATTCCCCAGTGTGTGACCACACAAGGTCACGTGCTGCTGCTGGACACTCCTGCTCGCACACTTTTCCGACCAAGTCTCCTGTTGCTACTGACACGCTGGATGCTCGATCTGCCACTTCTGCTTCTCCTTCGGGTAGCCCAACAGTTCGTTTGCCGTCCTCTGCGATCTCTGTTAATGGAACTCCTAGTGCTTCCTCCTCTCCTGTTCCTGCTCCTGCAACTTCTGGCGACAGAGCGTCTTTCCTATATTCCGACGATTCTGCATCTATGCGGGGTGTCTCCTTCACGCCCGGCTTCTGGTAATTCTCCTCCCGCTGCCGTGCCCGCGTCTCCTGGTGTCTCCACTTGCTCTTCTCCGGTTGACTGTCCGACGTGTGGTAAGTCGTTCCTCAACAAGAGACAGCTACGCTTTCACCGCTTCCGCCGTCATCGCCTTGCTCCTCCTCCCTCCTCTCCTGGTGCTGCTGACTTCTCTACCACTGGCCATCCGCAGCTTCCGTCTACTTCTCTTCAGGCCTCGCCGCCTCCTTCCAATGCTACATCTTCAGGCGCTCCTATTCCTTCTACTACCTGCCGCGAGGGTTCCACGCTCCATCTCGTCTTTCCTGTAAGCGAATTCTTCATGTGCACAGAGCCCAATTGCAGCCTCCTGTTCCGCTCCAACTCCTAGTCCTGTATGAAGAGATCCCTCACCAGACACCTTCTCCAGGAACATCTGACCCCCATTTCTTCATGTATGAAATGGTGCAGCCTTTGCAACTCCCGGCTAGCCAACAAGGTATCTGTCCATGCCTGTTTCCGCACCTCTCCTCCCGTCATCTCCACTGGTGCCACACCCGACGATGATTCTTGGAGCTCCTTTGAGGATTGTCTTCTCAGCCTCACCGAGTCTGCCGCAGAGATTGTCAAGCTCCCTCCTCCTTCCTTTTCACTCCTGGGCCACCACACCTTCCCAACATCCAGAATCCACGTGTGATTCAGCGCCTCTACCGGAGGAATCGTCGAAGGGCTATTCTTATGCTTACCTAAGAATCCACTCCTTCCTGCAACATCCCGGCTGAAGAAATTGCTGCTGCCTACTCAGAACAGTACGCCTCTAAGGTCACGGACACCACGATCTTTACCACCTGCATTCCTGACCGACCTCCCCTCGGCCTCTCTCCTTTTTCTCCGGCTGAGGTTCACGCTAAACTTCGGTCGTGTGAGAATTCTGCGCCAGGACCTGATAGGCTCTCCTACGCTCACTGGCGTGAGCTCGACCCTGAGTGCAAGGTCCTGTGTGAATTGTTCAACATCTGCCTCCGTTTCCGACGTGTGCCCTCTTCTTGGAAGTCCTCCAGATCCTTCCTGATCTTCAAGAGAGGCGACCCCTCGGTCCTTGCCAACTGGAGACCTATTGCGCTCAGCTCTGCCATCGCTCGCCTCTTCACTGGTTGCCTCGCCAAGCGCCTAACTGCTTGACTTTGTGAGCACGAGGTCCTCTGTCCATCCCAGAAGGGGTTCATGCCTCATGACGGTGTCCTGGAACACAACTACATCGTACAGCAACGGTTCCAGCTTGTTCGTCGCCAGAAGTCCGATCTCTGCCTGGCCTCCCTGGACCTGACGAATGCGTTTGGTTCTGTTCCTCATGATGCCATCTTCGCCGCACTCCACACTTCCGGGGTTGGAGACGACTTTGTTTCCCTGGTCAGCGATCTCTACCGTGACTCCTCCACGTGTTTCCTCTCCAGTGACGGGGTCTCTGGACCCGTCGACATCAATGCTGGTGTTCGCCAAGGATGTCCCTTGAGCGGTCTTCTGTTCAATCTGACGATAGACCCGGCTCTCTCCATCGGCTCCACTGCTGGTTCTCCCCGCATTCTCGCCTTCCCCGACGATGTCCTGCTTCTGGCTCCGTCACCTGATATCCTTCAAGGAGACCTTGACTCCATCTCCGATTCCTTTTCTCGCCTTGGCCTCCACCTGAATCCAGCTAAATGCCACTCTCTGCACTTTTCTGCCTCCCGCTCTGCCGGTGTTCGCCCTACCACTTTCTTCATCAATGGCTCTCCCCTCGACCCACTGCGTGACGGTGATCATTTTCCGTTCCTAGGAAGACCCATCGGATTCCATCTTCCACCTGCCCGGGCTCAGCTACGTGACTTTCTTCTCCTTGCACAGAAGATCATGGATTCCAAGTTAGCACCTTGGCAACGCTTGGATGCGCTGAAGACCTTCTTCTTTCCACTCTTTGCTATTCTACATGAGGACCACACAACTCAGGAAGGGAGATTGGAAAAAAATCGATGACTTCTTGCGGCCTGCCATCAAGAAGACACTGAACCTGCCTCCTGAAGCTTCTAATAACTACCCTTTACGGGCTCTCAGGAAAAGGTGCTCTCGTTATCCCTCTCGCTGCCGAGGACTCGGACATAGCGGCCGTTGACAGTGCCTTCAAGCTTCTCTGCTCCGGTGATAGCTACGTCCGAGGCCTCGCGTGGGAGGACCTGTCTGCATTCATCCAAGCTCGCATCGGTGAGTCTCCATCCCCCTCCACCGTCGGTCTCTTCCTCTCCGGTTCAGATGATGCCCCATTCTCTGGTAACTGCAACCCGATCTCCTCACCTGGTCTTTTGATGCCGGCGGTTTTCCTGCCATCTCCTGCTGACCCAACACCATCTTTCCTAGCAAGAAGCACTCAGTCTTTCGCTCCTTCTAGACCCTGAGAAGGACCGAGCGCATCAATGATCTGATCCTCCTCCCCAACCAGGGAAAGGCAATGGAATGTGTCTCTGCTGCACGCGCCAGCTCCCACTTCTTCCATCAAGGCTCCTTCACCAGGTTTGCTGACTGGCGGTTTATTCACCGGGCTCGTCTCAACCTGGTCCCCCTCAATGCCACCAAGCCCTGGGACCGCTCCCGCCGTTCCTGCCGACGCTGCCAGTTTCCCGAGGAGACCCTACCTCATGTGATTGACCATTGCATGAGGTATGCACGCCTCTTTCAGAAAAGACACAACGCCATCGTCTCGAGGATTAGACATGCTGCTGCTAGTAAATGGAATGTGATGTTTGAAAACCAGGCCATCCCTGGTTCTTCCTTAAGGCCCGATCTTGTTCTTGCAAAGGACGACACCTGCCTCATCCTCGATGCCACAGTCCCGTTTGAGAACAGATTGTCTTCGTTCCAAGAAGCAAGAAGTGCTAAAGAGGAGAAGTACCGCCCGCTTGTCGACATCCTACGCAACACATACAGAAATGTCCAGGTCGGCGCCATCATCGTCGGTGCACTTGGCTCCTGGGATCGTGCAAACGACAAGATAGTGAGAAGACTTGGCTCAAACAAATATGCGAACTTAATGCGTAAGCTCATAGTTAGCGAAACAATAAGTGTTTCCAGAGACATTTACATTGAGCATCTAACTGGAAATCCGCAAATTGCGCAACAAAATCAGAATACCTCACCCGGTGATTAACTTGCTAACTGCGATTAGCAATCTCTTACCGTATATTTTCATCTGTTCCCGCACAGGCTCTCATTCATTGTAACATTTCGCTCATCTGTTTACAATTTCATCATTTCATCTTGTATGTAAAATATCAAAGACTTGTAAATACTTGTAAATACTTTATCATTCCTGTACATTTCAAATCGCACTGTGTGCGTTATTGGCTGAACCACCACGATCAGTTCAATATTCTGTAAAGTGGCATGAATCATTTCCTAATAAAAATTTTCTTTTCTTATCAGCTTAATTTGCCGGTTTAATTTATTTTTATAGGTTCACCGGTGGATTATGCTGATGGACTAATTTCTACGACCTGAGGGCGGAGCTAAAGGCGGGCCATGGTGGACCTTGGTAAGTTTTGCTTTATTTTTTTCTCTAACTTCTCCTAGTGATGCTTGATGGGTTGGTGACCTTTACTTGCGTCAGTAGAAGCCTTTCCTTTCCCTGTGAGCGTGCAGGTGTCTTTTCCCGCTATCGCTGAGCTAGCCGTTTTCGGTTAGTCCATGTGATGGGCGGGCGGGGTCTAACTTTCTCTACCTCTTTACTGTCTATTCTCGCTCTTCTTTAGTATTTTTTCACTATTTAGTGTTAAAATGCTTTCGTTGAGACCTTATTTTTTCCTTTTCACAAACTCACTATTACGGTGGGCGTGGTCTTTCCTTTATTTCACCCCTGTCTCTTTACTTTTTCTACTATCGTTTATTTCGTTTCATTTATTTTTTCCATTTCCAGGTTAGGGTCGAAATTACTGGTTGGTCTTTATGCTTACTCGGATTAGTGTCCCGGAGTAGCCGTGAGCCCTTAGCCTGTGTTCTGCCACAGGTCAGGGATCGAGTAAGCTTCCGATTACCCATCCATGTGAAAAGGACACCCGGCTGGGTGCGGCCTTTAGTGGGGCGTAATCTTCCAAGTCCTGGTCATCGTCTTTGCTTTCCTGTCCATGGTTCTTCCTTTCGCTTTTTTTAGTCTCGGTAGGTGCCTCGACCCCCAGTTCGTCGTGGGTCCAGGGACTTACCTCCATTGGAGTCCTTGTAGACTGGCCTCTCGCCTGAGTGTATCCTTAGCACGACACCAATTTTCATCCAAATCGGCTAGTTGCACGCGCTAGTTTCTCCGCCTACCCTGGTCATGTTTTTTTATTGTAACCTTTTTTTACCTGGTCCACCAGTGCTCTCAACTGATGCTCCTACCTCTGCCATCCGCTTTGATCTTGCCACTGTGCTCTAGTGCTATTTGTATTTGCTCTGCTGTGCCTCTGTTTTTTTCTTGATTTACAGGTTCAGCAATGTCTGGATCACCTACATTGCCCAACCTACCTGAGTTTTCCCCTCCGCCAAGGATCCCATCACCGACCTCTCCTGGGCTTCCTCTGCTGCCTGCTGCTCGCGCCATGACGGATAACTCCGAGTACTCCCTGGCCATGGCTTCTGCACTTCAACTCAACCAGCTTGTGGATTCCTCGCCTCCTCATAGTAGACACACTTCCGTCCGTGCTCATACCATCGATCTCTCCTGCCAACCGTCTTGCAGCCGCCACATTGCTGCATCTGTTACACCTTCGGGTCCTCCTCTCCTAAGAAGTGGCCACTTAAGGCATCTCCTTGCTCCCATCACTGCCAGGTCCATTGCCTCCACTCGTCTTTCATCCAGAGCTTCTCCGCCTCTTGCCTGCAAGGTATCACCTCCGGTTTCTGCTCCTACGCCGTCCTCGCTGCCTCCTTCTCAGCCCAGCTACCCCACCCGCTTCGACTGCCACGTCTGCGGAAGGTCGTTCTCCCAACTCCGGAGACTCAAGAAGCATACTCGGTCCCACCCTGGCCAGTCCTCTCTTCCATCTTCATGTGCTACAGACAACGGGTCTCCCATCGCTCCTGAAGCCCACACACAGGTTGCTATCGACACTCCGGTGGGACATCACACACGTTCTCGCCGTGCTGCTGGCCACTCCTGTGCCCCTGCTGCCTGCCAGACTGCTACTGCACCTGCCGTCACCGAGCCTACCACCTCCTGTGATGCATCGCCTCTTAGTCCGTCCTCCTCCCCTGGTACTTGTCATGTCTCCCTCCAGCTGCCTGTCTCTCCACCACCGCTTGTTCCTGATGCCATCATCTCATCATCTAATGCCATGCCTGCTGTGTCACGTCCTCCTCTCGCCACTGCCGTCCATGCTGCATCTGCTCATTCCGACACAGGCCCTTTGACGCTTGCCTCCTCACCTGCTGTTCCTGACGAGCTTCCAGTGCCCCATCCCGAGGTGACCTCTACTCCCTTGACGCCGGCCCAACTTGCTACCTCCTCCTGCCACTCATCCCCCGGACATGACCTCGACACAAGCTCCTCACCGAGGTACCTGAGGACACAGAGCCAGGACTCCGCTACCGATGTACTGCGCACCTCCCCTGATGCCACACCTGTTCCTGATACGCCGCTGGTCTCGTCGCCACCTTCTCTTGCGACCAACGCCTCCGTGACATCTGCTTTCCCACACTCCACCTGCAGACAGGAGTCCGAGATTCATCTGATCTCGGTCCGATCTGATCGATGATCGGATGAACGGATGATTGGATCGGATGAACGGATGATCGGATGAACGGTCCGATGATCGGATCTGATCTCGGTCCATGTCTGACACTCTCCACTGCACCGAGGAGGGATGCACACGTACCTTTCATGCTAGAGCATGGTCGCAACTTCGCCACTCCCTCTGTAGACACCTTCTCTATGCCCACAACATTGATGTCTCCCAGACGCGCAATTGGTGCGCGCACTGCCGGCTGATGATACCATCTCGTGTGTCACAACACCAATGTTTGAGAGACCACCCCGTTGTCGTCCCCTCCGGCATCACTCACAGATGGAGTTGCCCCCACTGCGACTTCTCCTGCCAGACGAGACGTGGCTTTCTCAACCACCAGGCACGACACAAGCGTGAGAGACTCAATGCCAACAGAACACAACAACCGCTGCCTGTACGTCCCCGTCAGAGACCGCGACGTCGACACCACCGCACGGATCCTGCTCCTCCCTCCCCACCTGCTACTGCCTCCACTTTACTGACGAATACGTCTCCTATCTCATCTGCTAACTCTGGAAATCTCGGAGGACCTCCTCCCCCATCCCCTCTGGACCTGGTACCACTACTGACTTCGAGACACTACCTGCATCCCTGCCTTCATACCGTAACCCCACACAATCTACAGATGAATCCCAGGACACCTTCACACCCCGGCCAACGACTCCACTGATAGCATACCTGCTGATACTGCTGCTGCTGCCGACGACGCCATGGATGCCCCCATTGACGACTCTGCTCCTCCTCCTGACACACCTGAGGACCTGGATTCTCCGCTAGCCCATTTCCGCTCCGGATTAGTTCAGCTGCTGTCCTGTGACCTGTCCACGAACTGGCGCAGATTTGAAGAGATCCTGGATGACATCATCTCTGAGGCCCGGGACCACCTTAAGTTACCTTTGCCAAGTGCCCGCCCTCCTCCTTCCTCACCCATCTCGGCAAGTGACCCCAGGGCCATTCAACGCCTCTACCGGAGAAATAGAAGACGTGCGATGAGGCTCATCACCGAAGGGGAATCTCAAAAATGTCCTCTAGACCGGACCTCAGTGTTTGACCATTTTTCCTCTCAGGCCTCCCCTTACCTGATTGACTCGTCCGTCTTCACTCCGCCAGACTGCCTGCCTCCTGAGCTTGACCTCTCCAACTTCACACCCTCCGAGGTTGCCTCCCGCCTGCATGCGTGTGAAAACACCGCCCCTGGACCCGACAGGCTAACTTACCAGCACTGAAAGACACTGGACCCCGACTGCAACATCCTTGCTCTCATTTTTAACATCTGCGTGAGGGCTCAGCGCACTCCTGACTCCTGGAAGTCGACCTCGTCCGTGCTCATCTTTAAGAAAGGGGATCCCAATGACCTCCGGAATTGGCGGCCGATCACCCTCAGCTGCACCATGGCCAAGCTATTCTCTGGATGTATCGCCAGACGACTGACAACATGGTTCTGTGCCAACACTTTGCTCTCACCCTGCCAGAAGGGCTTCATGCCTTATGACGGAGTATTTGAGCACAACTTCATCCTGGAGAACAGGATCCGCAGTGCTGTACGTTCCGGCCACGAGATCTGCATTGCTTCCCTTGACCTCTCTGATGCCTTTGGGTCTGTACAACATCATGCCATCCTTGATGCCCTGTCTGCGTCTGGAGCAGGTGCGCCGATTGTCAACAACGTCCGGTCAATGTATGCGGAAACAGCTACTCAATTCCTATGCACCGATGGCGCCACTGACCCCATTCCCGTCACGAGAGGAGTCCGTCAAGGCTGCCCGCTGAGTGGTCTGTTATTTAACCTGACCATCAACCCTCTTGTCACTGCCATCCAAGGATCCTCTGCTGTACACCGGGTGCTTGCTTACGCAGACGACTTGCTGCTGTTAGCACAATCTCCAACGGAGCTTCAGTGCCTGCTCGACCTGGCTGCAGACTTCGCAGAGAAGCTTTCACTTAAATTCAACCCTGACAAATGCTTCTCTCTACACCTCTCCGGTCAGCGGCCCACTGGGACACGACCCGCATCATTCTCCCTTTACGGCATCACCTTTCCGCACCTTACCGATGGAGATGCTGCTTCTTTCCTAGGAAAGCCTATCGGCTACCAGATTCCCTCTGACATCGATGCTCTTGCCAACTACATGCGCTCCTGTCAGAAGATCATGGAATCCGCCCTGGCACCTTGGCAAAAAATTGATGCACTCAAGGCCTTTTTCTATCCTGCACTGTCTTTCGACATGAGAACTGCCCGTCTCAAGAAAGGTGCCTGGACTCGACTAGACGACTTCCTACGACCCTTTCTCAAGAAGACCATCTACGTCCCTCCGGAAGCAGCCAATGAGTACTTGTACGGAGATTCTGCTGCGGGCTGCTTTGGTGTGCCGATGGCTGCTGAAGACTCTGACATCGCACTCATTGACAACGCCTTCAAGCTTCTTACATCCCGAGATGCCACCGTTAAAGACATGGCCTGGGAAGACCTGGAATGCTTCATTACCCAGAGGATCGGATGCCCTCCTTCTCTCAACGACATAGGCCTCTTCCTCTCTGCTGACGACTCTGGACCGTTCAGAGGGACATCCAACTCTTCAACATCTCCATGGTCACTAGCTCGTGCTGCCTCCCGTCGGCTAGGGACCACCTGGAACGTTCAACTAGGTCACCGGGCTTCGCTCTCCTACAAAGATGCTACCATAGAACCGAGCATGCGACAGAGCATCTTCCGGATCCTACGAAAAGCCAAGCCTGCTGAACGTACCGCAAGGCCTGCCATTTTTTCCGAGCCGGTGATTACACCAGGTTTGCAGACTGGCGATTCATTCACCGTGCCCGCTTCAATTTAGTGCCGCTCAATGCCAATAAACGTGCCAACCCAGGAGCAAAAGGATGTCGACGTTGTGACCGCCCCCTTGAGACTCTTCCTCACGTCGCAGGACATTGTATGCGCTATAGCCGCAATTATCAAGACCGGCACAATGCGATTGTACATCGGATCAAGAAGGCCGCGACGTGTAGATGGAGTGTCTTTTCCGAAAACCAATGTATCGCAGGCACCACGCTACGACCAGATCTTGTGCTTGTTAAGGATAACTCGGCACTCATTCTAGATGTGACGGTCCCATTTGATAATCGCCTCTCTTCATTTGAAGCTGCTCGCAGTGAAAAGGAGGAAAAATATGCTGCCGCCGCCGAACTCCTTCGTTCCCGCTTCGCTGATGTACGTGTTGAAGGCGTCGTGGTTGGAACTCTTGGATCATGGGATCCAAAGAACGACCGGATCATCCGGAGATTATGCTTCAAAAAATATGCCAGCCAGATGCGCCGATTTATCGTCAGCGACACCATCCGCAGTACCCGGGACATCTACATAGAACATCTCACTGGACAACGGCAAATCCCATGGCAAGCACGTCGCCAAGTCAACAATTAGTAAAACTAAATAAGTCACCTAAGACTAAAATTTTTGACAGGCCTCAACGGGTACACTTTCTTAAATGACAGCATATTTGTGCTACCCTCTATCAAGCAATCATGTAGGACAGTGTGAAAACTTTTATGCGAACTCTGTAAATATCCTGTAAATACATTTATATATACGCTGTCAAAAAAAATCTCTGTAATATATTTCTGGAAAATTGTCTGTAAATACTTCTGTTTTCTTTTTTTTTTCTTTTTTTTTATTTTATTTTGTAACACTGGAATTGGAAAAATGTCAGACCACGAATGTTGTGGAAAAAGTCGCACTGCGTGCGCTACCGATATATCAGCTGCGAATATATCAGTATTCATGTAAGCGGCACAAAACGTTGAAATAAAAAGTTTTTCTGTTCTTATCAGCTTAATTTGCCGGTTTAATTTATTTTTATAGGTTCACCGGTGGTTATGCTGATGGACTAATTTCTACGTCCGGAGAGCGGAGCTAAGGTGGACTTTGATAAGTTTTGCTTTATTTTGTCTCTTATTTGTCCTACTGATGCTTGATGGGTTGGTGACCTTTACTTGCGTGAGTAGGAACCTTTCCTTTCCCTGTGAGCGTGCAGGTGTCTTTTCCTGCTATCGCTGAGCTAGCCGTTTTCGGTTAGTCCATGTGATGGGCGGGGTCTAACTTTCCCTACCTCTTTCCTGTCTTTCTTGCTCTTTAGTATTTTTTCACTATTTAGTGTTAAAATGCTTTCGTTGAGCCCTTATTTTTCCTTTCCCACAAACTCACTGTTATAGTGGGCGTGGTCTTTCCTATGTTTCACTCCTATCTCTTTACTCCTTCCGCTATCGTTTATTTCGTTTTATTTATTTTTTCTCCATTTCCAGGTTAGGTTCGAACTAACTGGTTGGTTTATATGCTTACTCGGATTAGTGTCCCGGAGTAGCCGTGAGCCCTTAGCCTGTGTTGTGCCACAGGTCAAAGATCGAGTAAGCTTCCGATTACCCATCCATGAGAAAAGGACACCCGGCTGGGTTCGGCCTTTAGTGGGGCGTAATCTTCCAAGTTCTGGTCATCGTCTTTGCTTTCCTGTCCACGGTTCTTCCTTTCCTTTTTAGTCTCGGTAGGTGCCTCGACCCCCAGTTCGTCGTGGGTCCAGGGACTTACCTCCATTGGAGTCCTTGCAGACAGGCCACTCGGCTGAGTGTATCCTTAGCTCGACAGCAATTTCCATCCAAATCGGCTAGTTGCACGCGCTAGTTTCTCCGCCTACCCTGGTTATGTGTTTTTTTTTCTACCAGGTTCACCCTTGGCTCGGACGAAAGCTCTGACCTCCTGTCTTCTCGCTGATCTAACCAAAAGGCCCTTTTATTTTCTTGCTGCTGCTGTGCCTGCCTTCCTCTGATTACAGAATGTCTGGGTCTCCTGACACTGCTGATCCATCGACGCCCTGCCTTCCTGTGCTGGTACGTCCACCTCGGATCCCTTCGCCGACCACTCCTGGCCTGCCTCCGATGCCCACATCGCCTGTTCTGCTGTGCCCGATTGTGTCTCCACCTCCTTGTGATAGTCGCCGCCCTGAAGTCCTGCACAGCCCGTCGAGTAAGACTCCTTCTCGACACATCGCTGCCTCTGTCACTCCATTAGGACCACCACTTCTCAGAAGTGGCCACCTGAAGCAACTACTGGCAAGGATCACTGCTAGGCCACCTTCCACCTCCCACTCTGGTGCCACCTCCACGCTGCCTTCATCACATAGCCCAGAAAAGATGCCTCCTTCCATGGCCTGCCCACCTCTGCAGTCTCCACCATCCTCGTCTCCTGCTCCTTCCGAGGCTACTTCCATTGCTGGCTGTTCTCGCGCCTACCTGCGTGACGACAGGGACCCTTCTGCTAGATCCGGACGCTTCTCCTCCTTCCCGTGTTATGTCTGTGGAAGGATCTTCAGCAGAAGGAAAACGCTCCAGAGACACGTCGACCGACATGGTCCTGACTGCGTACAGAGCCATCCATCTCCGTTACCTCGCACCAGTACAGACTCCTGCTCCTAACCACGAATCGCCTGTGTGCCACCACACCAGAGCAAAGACAGCTGCTGGCCACGCTTGTTCCTCCCAGCCATGCCTGCCTGACATGCCCCTTGCAGAAGCTTCTACTTCATCACCTGCCTTATCTCCTCCGACTGTACACCTCAGCTTTATTCCCGTGGACTCGTCTTCTTCCTGCCATGCCACGCTTGCTCCTAGGCCTTCGCCGACCCCAGTCTCTTCCTCTGACTCTACCGCTCCATTGCCTCTCCAGGAGTCCGTGACGGATGATTCATCCTTTCCTGCTGCCTCCCCGTCCCCAGTTGCACCCAGCTCATCACCTCCTGGCGACCCTTCCCTCATGCCTAATGACGTGCTACCAAGTTCGCTGCCTCCTCCAGTCTCCGCTTCTGCTCCAATGGACATGACGCCCGCTGGTGCCTCATCTGCTGTTCCTGCTCCCGAGTCCACATGCCGCGTCGACAGGACCGTCCATCTCGGCTCCAATGCCCTGACCAATGGCACCTCCCAGCCTCCCTTGGACTTCTGCCCTCATGATGACTCGGATTGCAGCACCTCCTCTCGCTATCTTAGGACTCAGAACGAGGACCGTCACCCCTCTGCTTCTTCACCTGAGAGCAGCTCCGTCATCACCAATGTGGCCGTCATTCCTCGCCAGCCCTGCCGCGATGCATCGTGCCTCAAGGTCTTCCTTCCCATTTCACCGGTTTTTAACTGCACTGAAGAAAGTTGCCGCTTCTCCTACAGTGCCACCAAATGGACTGCACAGCGTAGATCTCTGGGGAGACACCTTCTCACTGAACATAACATCCGCATCCAATCTGTTTGCTATGTCTGCCTCTACTGCAATAGAACTATTACTGGAAGACCATCTCTCCACCCCTGCTTGTCAGAAGGAGTTTTCCTCTCGTCACATACCTCGCCAGAACCTCCTAGAAGACGTTTCTCTTGCAGTAGATGCAACAAGGTACTCCCCTCACGCAAAGGACTTGACAACCTTCGCATGTGGCATAGACGTATGGACGTCCTACATAGGAACTCCGATACTTCAGCGGATGGGCCTGCGGCTACAAACCCACCGATGACTGTCTCTCCATTACAACCTTCTACTCCTGATGATAATTTATTGACTACCTCTGTTCCTTCCAATGACCCTTCTGTCTCTACGCCAACATAGGACGTCTCACGTGCTCTTGTTCCTCCTCCCCCTCTGTCACACGCAACTCCTGCTCCTACACCTCTGTCTGGCTTCGTTCCTGCACTTGAAGACATTTCCGGTTGTAATCCATCTGATGAGGCCTGGTGACATTTTGAAAACATCTTAGAAGAACTTGTTGCTCATGCTCAGGGAGAATGTAAATTACCTGTTCTAGCACCGAACACTGCTGGCTCTCCTACGAACGTGGACGATGCTACACAGATTCAGAAGATGTATCGTAGAAACCGGCGACGTGCTGCACGCCTCATTATGTCCGGTGATACAAGAAATTGTGATCTCCCACCTTCGCAAGTTGAAGCTCACTTTCGCAACGCTCGCATGAATAGAGAATTTGACCAGTCCATCTTTGAGAATACGCCTATGAGCAATGCCTCCTCACCTGTGAACCTCGAACCCTTCACCGAGACTGAAGTAATTACCAGACTTAGGCGATTTGAGAATACCGCTCCAGGACCAGATCGCCTCACCTATAGTCACTGGCACTATAGGACCCTGAAGGACAAGTCCTTGCACTGATCTTTAACATCTGCCTGAAGTTCCAACGTATCCCACAGTGCTGGAAAATATCGAGGAGCATCCTTATTTATAAAAAATGTGATCCACAAGACCCTGCTAACTGGCGTCCCATTGCTCTCTGTCGGACCATTGCTAAGATCTACTCAGGTCTCCTGGGCACCAGACTGTCCCGCTGGATCGAGACGAACAACCTCCTTCACCCGGGTCAAAAGGGTTTCCTGCCCTATGACGGAGTGATGGAGAATAGCTTCGCACTGCAAAAAAGGATGAATGACGCCAGAACTTCAAAAAAGGGCATCTGCATCGCCTGGATCGACATCGCAGATGCATTCGGATCGGTTCCTCACCCTGCCATCACAAGCACATTGTCCCATCTGGGTGCCGGTCAAAACTTCTGCAATATTGTCACAGACCTGTACAGAGATGTTTCCACGGAGTTCATCACCGAAGCTGGCTTCACTTCTCCAATTCCAATCAATGCCGGAATTCTGCAGGGAGACCCTCTTAGTGGACTTCTATTCATCACGACCATGGATTTCATTCTCTGGAGAACTGCTTCTGCTGACAGTGGCGCCATCCTGGGATATGCTGATGACGTTGCCCTCATGGCTCCTACTCCTGCTGAAGACCTCATTGACCGCTTCTGCACTTCCTGCTGCACTTAATATCAACTCCTCCAAATGCGCCTCTTTACATCTGTCTGGCTGTCGCCCCGTAGGTACTCGCCCCACCTGCTTCAACGTATCTGGTTCCACTATCCGAAACCTCTCTGACGGGGACACTAGCGACTTCCTTGGCAAACCCGTAGGATTCCTGGGAGAGTACGGCACGCCCTCAAGCCTGGAGCGATTTATTGGAAATGGACGTCGTCTGCTTACTTCCAAACTTGCCCCGTGGCAGAGGCTAGATGCTGTAAAGACCTTTCTCTTCCCATCGTTCACTTTTGCCATGAGGACCTGCCAGCTGAAAAAGCATGAGTGGGAAAAGCTTGACAAGACCCTAAGGCCGCTGTTAAAAGATACTTTGTACGTACCCCATCGTGCTGCAAATGAGTACCTGTACGGCAGTCCTGCAAGCGGTGCCATGAATCTACCAATCGCTGCTGAGGAGGCAGACATCTTTGCAATAGATACTGCATTCAAACTCCTCACGTCACGAGATCTGACGGTTCGCTCCTTAGCTTGGGACGACCTGAAAGAGACTGTAAGGCATCGCCTTCCCTCCCACGCTGACCCACCAGACTTTGCTGCGTTCCTCTCCGGCGCTAATGACGATGATTACCGCAGGAGATCAAATCGTATTAGCAACATCTGGACTGCTGCCAGAGCCGCCTCAAGGAGACTCCAGATCAACTGGTCAATCCAGAATTCCCTTCCTGTCATTGAAGCTGGAGACTTCTCTGCCACCGCTGCCCACAGAAGAAGTATTGCCTCTTCCATCAGAAAATTCTGCAAGTCTGGCCGTGACGAACATCTCCTGGCACTTCCCAACCAAGGAGACTCTTGAATGCGTTGCAGCTTCCAAGGCCTCCAGTCACTTCCTCCACTCTGGCAATTACACCCAATTTAGTGATTGGAGATTCATCCATAAGGCACGCCTCAACATGGTAAATCTGAATGGTGCAAAGCCCTGGTCAAACGCAGATCCAAGATGCCGACGATGCGGTGCTGACAGAGAGACCTTACCACATGTGCTTGACCACTGTATGGCCTACTCCACTCTTTACAAGGAACGGCATAATGCCATCATAGACCGCCTCATAAAGATGTGTGAAAAGGATTTCAGGATTATCTCTGCTGACCGTGCCCTTGACGCTTCCCGCCTAAGGCCTGACTTGGTTCTCGAACGCGATGGTAAATTTTTCATTCTCGATGTTACTATCCCTTTTGAGAATCACCTTGGCGCCTTCGCTGAAGCTAGAGCGCGCAAGTTAGAGAAATACGAAGCTCTCCGTGCCTCCATCGCATGTGAACATGGCCACTGCACTATAGTTCCCTTCGTAATTGGTGCGTTAGGGTCCTGGGATAGAGCCAACGACAAATTCTTAACCATTGCCTGCTCTCGCTCCTATGGACGTCTCTTTCGCATGCTATGTGTAAGTGATGTCATACGGCATAGCAAAAACATCTATGTTGGACACATAAGCGGACAAAATAATCCAACACCCAACACTGAAGAACAGGAGGCCACGCAGACCAATGACAATTAGAGAATTAAGGAAAGATCACGCAATGGCATGCAACATACATTATGGACTGTACAAGGACTGTACACACTTAAGAACTCTATGTGTGTTAAGCTCCTTAACAAAGAATTCATTCACTTAATCATGAACATTTGTGTGAACTTTTGTGCGAATAATATTGTGAACACTTGTAAATCAACCCTATGAGAACTATAATACCAAACAACGTTTGTGATCATTTGTAAGTCAGCGTGCTCCAACATTTGTGAACTTTGTATATCCTGTAAATAATTGTAAATAATGCACATTGTTGTATTTAAATATGTGTAATCCTGTACATAATGTACATAGTTTGTAAATTTTAATATTCGCTCATAAATTATCTGTTCTTATCAGCTTAATCTAACGTTTTATTTTGTTTCTTTTTTTCAGATTTCCTGACCATGCTGATAGAATAGTTTACTCGTCTGGTGGACGGAGCTG